ATGCAAGGAGACCCATGCATTGTATAGGTAAACCCACTAAAAGAAACTCCTTAAAAAAAAATTTTTTTAATTACAAATGTCTTTTTTTATTTAAAAAAATTGTAACTTTTTTTTAAAGAAGTCGAGCGGACAACGTGGAAGTGAACGACGTGTCGACCACGAGCCTTGAGCGCGCCACACGCACACACAGAGAGAGAGGAACGAATGAAGTTGAATAATAAAACAACAAGTTTGAGTTGCGCGACACGCGCTCGGCGCTCACCGCGTGTTCAGAAGCTTCGTGGGCGACGCGATTCCAGAGCTCAGGGGCCGCGGCGTTCTCGATTCCCGGCGGGCAAATAGATATTTAATTAACAAGACGTCCACGCTTTTAAAGAGACGCTTAAGTGATTGACGCCGATTTTTATTGATTGCTTTATCAATTAGGTGTTTTTTTATTTCGAGTGATGCACGCACACGACGCAGGTGAGCCTGAGGCACGTGGCGCCTGATTGGTGTGCGGGCAGTACGTTGTCACAGTGAGCACACAGTCTCGTGGATTGGACAACAGGAAGTAGACTAAACATGTTGTTACAAGATGTTGGCCACGACAAACAGAGGAATATCACGTGAAGTGAAAGCGTTGAAAAATATAAAGGGGCAGAAATTACTCCATCAAGAAAACTAAATTTTAATTAAAACCCAGTACACATGCAACGTTGAGACAATTTGGTTAACATAGGTGTTCACACACAGTGTGGTTAACATAGGTGTTCACACACAGTGTGGTTAACATAGGTGTTCACACACAGTGTGGTTAACATAGGTGTACACACACAGTGTGGTTAACATACAGTGAGGGAAAAAAGTATTTGATCCCCTGCTGATTTTGTACGTTTGCCCACTGACAAAGAAATGATCAGTCTATAATATTAAAGGTAGGTTTATTTGAACAGTGAGAGACAGAATAACAACAAAAATCCAGGAAAAAATGTTATAAATTGATTTGCATTTTAATGAGGGAAATAAGTATTTGACCCCCTCTCAATCAGAAAGATTTCTGGCTCCCAGGTGTCTTTTATACAGGTAACGAGCTGAGATTAGGAGCACACTCTTAAAGGGAGTGCTCCTAATCTCAGCTTGTTAGCTGTATAAAAGACACCTGTTCACAGAAGCAATCAATCAGATTCCAAACTCTCCACCATGGCCAAGACCAAAGAGCTCTCCAAGGATGTCAGGGACAAGATTGTAGACCTGCACAAGGCTGGAATGGGCTACAAGACCATCGCCAAGCAGCTTGGTGAAAAGGTGACAACAGTTGGTGCGATTATTCGCAAATGAAATAAACATAAAAGAACTGTCAATCTCCCTCGGCCTGGGGCTCCATGCAAGATCTCACCTCGTGGAGTTGCAATGATCATGAGAACAGTGAGGAATCAGCCCAGAACTACACGGGAGGATCTTGTCAATGATCTCAAGGCAGCTGGGACCATAGTCACCAAGAAAACAGTTGGTAACACACTACGCCGTGAAGGACTGAAATCCTGCAGCGCCCGCAAGGTCCCCCTGCTCAAGAAAGCACATATACATGCCCGTCTGAAGTTTGCCAATGAACATCTGAATGATTCAGAGGACAACTGGGTGAAAGTGTTGTGGTCAGATGAGACCAAAATGGAGCTCTTTGGCATCAACTCAACTCGCCGTGTTTGGAGGAGGAGGAATGCTGCCTATGACCCCAGGGGCGGTTTCTTCATTAGGGCGATTGGGCGACGCACCACCAATGTCATTCAACCACAGAGTCACGCTAGCCGTTATTGTGCCTCTGGATATAGTCCAATCAGCGTCATGTCACGTTCTGTGGAGTACCGCCTCTTTTTGGGCGATTTCACTCCGGCTGAGAATCGCCCCGAGTGGCCCCATAGACTTACATTCAAAGATGTTTTTTTTCGAACGGCGGGCGCTGCAATGCATTCTCTATGGCTTCCGGGAGGGCTCACACTAACGTGCTAACGTCATCATACGTGCTTACGTCATCATACGTAAGCACGTTTCAGTCAACAATATTATTTGTCGCCACCTAGTGGAATCTTTAATAAAATAAACTTGAGTGGTTTGTTTTAATAGTGAGTATAGAAACAAACAAGATGTATTGTAAGAGTCACTTTATTTTTCATTAATATTAAAGAAGTGAAGTTGCCTTTACATGCTTAAGCTGTTAATTTATCCATTGCATGGGTGGACCTTATCCTTATCAATCATCCAGACATTTGCCCCCCCTGAGAGATTTTGCAGGAGCCGCCACTGATATACACTACACTTATATACACTACACTATATACACTACACTTATATACAATGCACTCGATATGTTACATGTTGATATACATGACATCTTGTTTTGACGTACCGGGCTAGAGTTTTTGTAGCTGCGAATTTAAAGTGTTTTGCATGTTCCGTCAAACAAAAGCCTCAATTTTTCGATTTAAAGCTTTCGTGACTGCAGGGATTCATCTTCTTGGTTCTTTTGGTCAAGTCACGTGGAAGGGAAATAATAAAATATTAAAATTTTAAAATTAAATTAAATTAAATCACGACTTTTTCGGAAGCTTGTGTCGCCCGAAACGTCGCGATTAAATTTTTTTTAATTTTAATTTTTTCACCTCCGTGACTTTACCGAAAAAAACACAGAGTATGCGCATATACTCTTTGCTTATTTCTATTTTATATTTAAAATCTTCACCCACGTGACTTTACCGAAAGAAGCAAAGGATATGGATCATATCAGTCACGAAAAACTTCAAATCGACTGCTGCACATACAGAACTGTGGCCAGTGTTGAGTCTATGGGCGGGCGCCTATCAGCTCTACGGAATTTAGCCCGCTGCCACGTGGTCGCCTATCCGCGCTACGTTTTCTAAACGCGCCCTGCTAAAGCCACGCGTTCCCACCAGCGGTCCGTCTCCCGCCCTGTTGTGGTAGCGGCGCGAAACGTCGAACTCCACCCACCACCACCCACCACACGAGTCAATAGCTTCGTGTGTCACCTCCTCGCCACGACGGAGTAGAGAGCTCAAGACCCCCCACCACCCACACAGACGTCTACGGAGCGAACCACGAGGTGAGTGAGTGCAGCCCTAGGCCACATTGCCCCGCCTGGTTGGGCTGGGCTGGCCTGGGCTGGGATTGGGCTGGGCTGATACCCCCCACCACCATCCCCTGTGGTCTTTGTGGAACAGTTGAGGGGTCTAAACTGTGTTGGTCAATCCGCCCGTGGAATGTAACATTCATGTAAATGTCTAAGTCGAGATAATTTAATCAGAATCTGGGGTCGTGACGGTGACTAGGTGGATGTTAACTACTTTGCCTGGTCTACAGGAGGTCGTGGGTTCGATCATGCCCCTGTAGAGATGTTAACTACCTCGCCTGGTCCACAGGAGGTCGTGAGTTCGATCGCGACCCTGTAGAGATATTGACTACCTCGCCTGGTCTACAGGAGGTCGTGGGTTCCATCATGTCCCTGTAGAGATGTTGACTACTTCGCCTGGTCTACAGGAGGTCCTCGCCTGGTCTACAGGAGGTCGTGAGTTCGATCGCGACCCTGTAGAGATGTTAACTACCTCGCCTGGTCTACAGAAGGTCGTGGGTTCGATCCCAACCATGACGCCCCTCTATCAAGTTCAAGTTCATGTATTACGTATAGCCCTGTGAGCCATTCGGCTCTTGAATCTGGTGCAACCGCAACAAACAAAAAACAAAAATATGAACAAGAAAACATCTTAAAGTGAATATGTGACTAAGTGCAAACAGAAAATCTTAGAAAAGACCAAAATATTGCAGAAAAAGTACCGTTACACCAACGCCATGTGCAAAAATCCCAGTGGGATGCAAGTCAAACAACAACAACCACAAGACAACTTAGATTAAGGCCATCAGTCTAACTCTGTACATCAACAAACATGGCAAACCAAAAAAAACGGGCCGAACGAAATCTGTTTAGGCATGCGGTGGCTGGGCATGCGGGTTACATGACCCAGCCAACGCAGCCTTGCCTGCCGGAGGAGCTCACCAATAGGACTTTGTCCAGATCTTTCAAGGATTTGTGAGCTCCACACACAATCCAGCCTGGTTATCCGAGGATGGATCGTAGACAGGCCAGCCTAAATGTTTCTAACCGGTTAAGATGGATCATAGACAGGCCAGCCTAAATGTTTAGGCTGGTCTGTCTAGAATTTCCCTTGGGTGATCATCTCTGCCTGGTGCCTTTCCTGGTCTCGACTCTGGATCTCCTTCAGGACTTCCTCAACAGATGGCACCTCAGCCAGTCACTCACAGGGGGTGACTTCTTCCAATATTTGAGGCACCGCAGCCTCAGCAGTGTCATCCCCACTTTGTGCCATGATGTTTTCCTGGCTGAGGGATTTCCCCTCCCCCAGGACCTCACAGAAATGCTCAGCAAATCTGCAAACCTGTTCCTGGGGATCAGAGATTGGATCACCATTCTTTCCCCTAATGACGGTGATAGGTGTGGCACTACAATTTACGTTTTTGATGGAATTAAACAGCGATGTCTGATCACGGGCTACTGAGGCAGATTCCATCTCCTCAGAAACCCGCGACCACCACCCATCATTGCAGCGCCTCACGGCTCTCAGAACCTCCGAGCGAAGGCTGCGGTAAGCCTCCTCATTCTCTGACGTGGAATGCCGTAGACTATGAGAGTGGGCCTGTCGCTTTTTCTCAGCCAGCCTGAAGACCTCCTCTGTCAGCCAGGGTCTCTGGGGAGGTCTGAACCGCATACCCAAAGCAGCCATTGCAGCTGCATGAGCCACAGTCATTAACCTCGCCCATTTACCCTCTATGTGTATCTGTGACCCTCTGTGACAATTCTCTCTCTCTCTGTCTCTCTTGCGTCTCTGTGTGATCGCTGCTGCTGCTGCTGCTAGCGGCGGCGTCCTTCCGGCAGCAGAGGACATCCACGTGACCGGCGGCGTCTGCGTTCGAAGCGTTTGGGGGCGGCGGGGATGGAGCAGCAGTACGAGTCCGTGGCCGAGTTGGGCGCTGGGGTCTACGGGGCCGCGACGACTTTCAAGGCTCGCGACCTCCGGGACCAGGGCCGCTTTGTGGCGCTGCTCAAGGGCCTGCGCCTGCAGACAGGCGGGGGCCCGGAGGAAGATGCCTGGCAGCTGCTGCAGCTACAGCTGCTCACGAAGCTGGAGCACCCCAACGTGGTGAGGTGGGTGTCTCTCCCACCCCTCGCGCCGCGTCACAATCCCTCGCAATCGTCGCCGCGTCAGCCTCCAATCCTCCACGGTCATCGTGTCTTGGTGTCACTCGCCTTACGTTGTCGCCATCTCCACCGTGGATGGAGTTGGAGCACCCCAACGTGGTGAGGTGGGTGTCTCTCCCACCCCTCGCGCCGCGTCACAATCCCTCGCAATCGTCGCCACGTCAGCCTCCGTCCTCCAATTGTCCACGGTCATCGTGTCTTGAAAAGATTAGGAGACAGATCGTCGTCGTCGTCGTCGTCAAACCGAGATGACTTCTGCGCTCTCTTGCTCTGATGTCTCCGACCCCGACCCCCGACCCCCGACCGGCCTGCCCCAGGCTGCTGGACGTCTTTGTGGATATTCGTGACGAGGGCGGCGCGCGTCACGCCGTGGTCTGTGAGCTCGTAGACCAGGATCTGTCCACCTACCTGGGGAAGTCGCCCCACACACCGTCCCACCACATCAAGGTGCCACCGCCAGCACCACCACCACCCACCCCGTCACTCCCTACCCCACCCCCAAAAGGCAACACCACTCTCAGAGTCTCTGTGTATCTCTATGGGTCTCTGTGTGTCTCTGTGAGTCTCTATGAGTCTCTGTGTGTCTCTGTGTCTCTATGAGTCTCTATGAGTCTCTGTGTGTCTCTGAGTCTCTATGAGTCTCTATGAGTCTCTGTGTGTCTCTGTGTATCTCTGAGTCTCTATGAGTCTACCAGTCTCTGTGTATCTCGCACGCACGTTGCCAGCCGAGCCTCGGAGCGGCTAACGAGTTTACACTCCCCCCCCCCCTCCTTGTGTCGTGACCTTGTGCCGTGCCCTTGCGCCGTGACCTTGCGCCGTGACCTTGTGCCGTGCCCTTGCGCCGTGCCCTTGCGCCGTGACCTTGTGCCGTGACCTTGCGCCGTGACCTTGTGCCGTGCCCTTGTGCCGTGACCTTGTGCCTGTGACCTTGCCGCCGTGACCTTGTGCCGTGACCTTGCGCCGTGACCTTGTGCCGTGACCTTGCGCCGTGCCCAGGAGGTGACGCGCCAGCTGCTGTGTGGGCTGCGCTACCTGCACGGCCACGGCCTGGAGCACCGCGAGCTCACGCCACGCAGCGTCCTGGTGACGGCCTCGGGGCGCGTCAAGATCGCCGGCTGGGGGCTCGGACGCTTCCTGGACAGCGCGAGCAGGGCTCCCACCCCGGCGGTGAGTAGAGAGAGTGAGAGAGAGAGGTCTTCTTGGTTCTTTCGGTAAAGTCGTCACGTAGAAGGGAAGTAATAAAATAATAAAAATAAAACATAATAAAATAATTCTCACGACGTTTCGGCCACAACGCAAGCAGCCGTCCTCAGGTGAAGACCAGGTCTGTCGGGGAGACAGCGTCTGAATCTGTCTTCCGGCCAACACCGGCGACGATTATCTTAACCGGTCCCGGGCCTCCCCTAGGTTGACTCAGCCCCAAAAGAGTACCCGGTGCGGTGCGCGGTAAACATCGCCACCGGGAGACAAAGGCGGCCGGGGCGGTGCTGGCCACCCACCCCCTCGTGTGCCGGCCGTCATAGGCGCTGCTAACGGCACTTGCCCCTACGGTGTGTGAAGGCTACACGGGGGATCTTTGTCTTTGTGTGTGTGCTGCTGTAGGTGTCCCCGTCGTGGTACCGCGCCCCGGAGCTGCTGCTGCTGGGGGTGACCTGCGGCCCGGCCGCGCCGACCTGTGGAGCGTCGGCTGCATCTTTGCTGAGATGTTTACACGCAGGTGCTCCTTGAGCACCGCCACCCGCACACCCACACACCTAGCAACCCACCCACCTAGCAACCCACCCACCTAGCAACCCCACCCACCCACCTAGCAACCCACCCACCTAGCAACCCACCCACCCACCTAGCAACCCACCCACCTAGCAACCCACCCACCCACCTAGCAACCCACCCGCCCACCTAGCAACCCACCCACCCACCTAGCAACCCACCCACCCACCTAGCAACCCACCCGCCCACCTAGCAACCCACCCACCCACCTAGCAACCCACCCACCAAACCACACACCCAGCCACCCACACACCCACCCACCCACCAATCCACCCACCCAGCCACCCACCAACCCACACACCCACCCACCTATCAACCCACCAAACCACCCACCCACCCACCTATCAACCCATCCACCCACCAATCCACCAAACCACCCAGCCACCCACACACCCACCCCACCTATCAACCCACCCACCAACCCACCCACCCACCCACCCACTCACTCACCACCCACCCACACACCCACCCACCACACACCCACCCACCTATCAACCCACCCACCAATCCACAAAACCACCACCCAGCCACACAGCCACCCACCTATCAATCCACCCACCCACCAAACCACCCACACAGCCACCCACCCACCTCTCCCGCACGCAATGTCACCACAGGCCTGGCAGGGTGGCGTCGCCATGGCGCCCGTGCCAGGATAGGTGCCCCCGTGGGTCCGACCGAACACCATGCCACCTCTCCCCCATTGAATTGGTGTTGTTGTTATTATGATGATGTGTCTTTCCGACAGACCTGTTCTTCTGAACACCACCAAGCTTGGCAGCGTATATTTAAGTATATATTTAAGTATATACGCTGCCAAGCCTGGTGGTGCTCATTCAGACGCTGTCTTTCCGACAGACTTGCTCTTCACCGAGGACGGCTGCTTGCGTTGTGGCCGAAACGTCGTGAGAATTGTATTTTATTGCGTTTTATTATTTTATGATTTCCCTTCTACGTGACTTTACCGAAAGAAGCAAAAAGGTTCTAAGCGACGTCGCATCAGGTGACCTCCTTGTCTCCCCTCAACGCAGGCCTCTCTTCCCCGGAGGCTCCGATGTCGATCAGCTGACGAAGATATTCGGGTGAGTAGCTCGTGGCGAGCGTGCCGTGGGGAGCGGCGCGGGGGGCCAATAGACGCCATCTCATTTGTTAGCGGAGAGCAATGTGGGTGGGGAGGGGGGGGAGGAGGTGGGGGGAGGGGGAGAGGGAAGGGGGAGGAGGGGGAGGAGGGAGGGGGAGGAGGGGGGAAGGGGGAGGAGAAGAAGGGGGGGGAGGAGGAGGAGGGGAAGGGGGAGGAGGAGGAGGAGGGGGAAGGAGGGGGGGGAGGGGGAAGGGGGAGGAGAAGAAGGAGGAGGGGGGGGCAGGAGTATTTGGCTGCTGATGTAAATTCCACAACAGCCACTCCGTTGCGCAATCATTGATGAAAGTGGGTTGATAGTCAACAGCCGAATTCTCACCGTCACCTCCGCCGCCCCCCCTTCCCCCCTACCCCCCCCTTACCCCCCCCCTCCCCCGTGTCCCCCATGTCCCAGTCTGCTGGGCGTGCCGAGCCTGGAGGAGTGGCTGCTCGGAGCCTCCCTGCCGCACGGCGCTTTTGCCGGTCTCCACGCTGCCCCGCGGGCCCTGGTCGACTCCACGCCGGAGATGGGGCTGGAGGTCGCGCCGGGCAACGAGAACTTGGCGATGGCGCTGCTGCTGGTGAGACGCGGGCGGATTGTACGCGACGGCAATTGTCGCGCTTCGACGGGGATTACCGTTGAGCGGGCAATAACGCATCGCCTCTCGTCTCTGTGTGTCTGTGTCTCTCTGTGTCTCTCTGTGTGTCTGTGTCTCTCTGTGTGTCTGTGTCTCTCTGTGTCTCTGTGTCTCTCTGTGTCTCTGTCTGTCTCTCTGTGTCTCTCTGTGTCTCTCTGTGTCTCTGTGTCTCTGTATTAACTCTGTGTCTCTGTGTGTCTCTCTGTGTCTCTCTGTGTCTCTCCGCGCCCTCCGCACGCACGGCCGTGCCTCCCGCAGGAGCTGCTGACCTTCAGCCCCCGCAAGCGCATCTCTGCGTCTGTCGCCCTCTTCCATCCGTACTTCTCTGAGGCCGCAGGCGTGGCCACGGGCGAGGCCTAAGGAGTAGGCCCTGGGGCAAGGCCTAAGGAGTAGGCCCCGGGGCGAGGCCTAAGGAGTTTGCGTCCTTTTTTGTTGCCCCACCTTAAGAGGGTCGCTTGTGTTGCGCCCGAAACGTCGTCATTCGATTTGTTTTAATGTTTCGCCGACGTGACTTTACCGAATAAAAAAGCTAAAGGGTAATAAAAGTTAACTCTGAAGCAGCAAAAGAATGGCGAGGTACCTCTTTGTTGTTGTTGTTGTTGTCGTCGTCGTGTTGTTGTTGTTGTTTTCACAAATGTGCAGCGGGCGACTTATTGAGAGCACACTCTCTCGCGTAACGCGGCTGCACACTGGCGATCCTGACACGCAGCCCCATCTCCGGCCTCGCCACGCCAGCTGCCCGTCCTGCCGAATATCCGTCACGAGGTCGGCCACGAAGAGATGATGCCGGCGAGCAGCGACGCAGCCAGCACCACGGCGGCACGAACCGCCGGTCCATCATCCCTCATATCCGCCAAGCGCCACCTCTGGCCACGCCCCCTTTCCAGAACCCTCCAGCCGCTTCCCAGAGGAGCTTCTTGACCGACTCCGCCTTCATCTTCACCCCAGATACGCCCCCCCACCCCCCATATAATGAGGCATTGCGTAATGCACCCATGACCGTAATCACCACTCCAGGCCGACAGGTGTCACCCTATAGTTATAGGTTATTTAAATCCTTTATACTGGTAGGAACGAAGTGAACCAGCCTACAATAGATTATATCGTCCGTCCGATGTCCGATTAGGTGTAGCAACATCGCCCCCTACTGCAAACACTTGGCAGGACCCTACAAAAACCTTTAGACTCAGTGAGGCTTTCCTGGCTAAACAAGTGTAACATTCCCTTATAATTCCCTGAGATAGTTTTTAATGAAAACATTTAAATTACAAATTAACTCACAGCGGCCTAAAGCCTACAGCTAGGCCTAAAGCCTAGAACTAGGCCTCAAACTCTCCCTTCGTATCGTACCCCCGCCATTTCATTTTATTATAGCCATTCATTTGTTCGTTCCTACCAGCCCACCCCGCAGGGACCTGTTCTAAACGGAATCAGCACATCAAATTAAATCCGCAGAGGAGGGGAAGACGGGTCCCAAGCATGCGACACTCACAACCATCAGTGGCAGATACTCGGCCGAGAGAGTCGAGAGAGAGAGGAAGAGACTTTTCAGGACTTTATTTCCGCTAAAACATTAACAAAAAACCATTACGGGGAAAAAACACACGTAAATTGTAAATCGATAAAACATCAAACTCTTTAACAGCTGTGTGTGCACGAACTACACGTGGCACAGGGATAGAGGCTGTGCAAACGAGGCGGTGCACGGACATCTCCGTGTGTAGCAAAGTCGCTACGTGAGTGGGTGAGTGTGTGAACAGATGAGTGGGTGAGTGTGTGTGTGAACAGGTGAGTGAGCGAGTGGGTGTGTGAGGTGAGTGGGTGGAGGTGAGTGTGTGAGGTGAGTGGGTGAGCGAGTGTGTGGGTGGGTGAGTGGGTGAGCGAGTGAGTGGGTGTGTGAGTGGGTGAGCGAGTGTGTGGGTGGGTGAGTGGGTGAGGTGGGTGTGTGAGGTGAGTGGGTGAGCGAGTGTGTGGGTGGGTGAGTGGGTTTTTCTATTTGATGAATCAAAATGCGATGTGAAAAAATATTTTTTTCTCCCCGACATTTTCAAAACGAAATGGCGTTGACGCGTCAAACACCTGAAATCATTTTTTTTTTACGGATTCAGTTGTCGGTTTTCATTAAAGTGTAATGACAGGGTCACGCCTGGCGGGGTCACGGGTCACACCTGGTGACGTCACGGGGTCACACCTGGTGACGTCACGGGGTCACGCCTGGCGAGGTCACGGGGGTCACACCTGGCGAGGTCACGGGGTCACGCCTGGTGACGTCACGGGGTCACGCCTGGTGATGTCACGGGGTCACACCTGGCGGGGTCACGGGGTCACGCCTGGTGACGTCACGGGGTCACACCTGGTGATGTCACGGGGTCACACCTGGGGGGTCACGGGGGTCACGCCTGGTGACGTCACGGGGTCACACCTGGCGAGGTCACGGGGTCACGCCCGCTGGCCTGGGAAGGGATTCACGGGTACGGCCACAGAGGCAACAACCGATCAACGTGAGCACGTCGAGTGAGCGGGCGGGCAACTTGCGGTTTGACGGTGAACACGGCAGAGCGGACGTGAGCTTCAGAGCGAACGCCGAGCGGTGGGATGCCGTCCGCGGCCTGACGAACGCCGCCGCGACGGCCACGCGGCACTACGGGTGCGTGCCGCTCGTCGGCAGGCGCGCGGCGACCGGCTGCCGGGGCGCGGGGAAGTCGCCGGGATACGCCGGGAGGTTCCGGACGGGGCAGCCGGGAGGCAGCGTGGCGGCGGGGACCGGGCCCACCCTCAGGGGGTTGGCGTCGCCGAGGATTTCGTAGAGAAGGCCGCTGGCCACTTCGCGAGCTCCTTCCGCGCTGGAGCTCAGCACCGCGGGGAAGAAGCCGCTGCCTTCCCGCATCATCCCGGGAACGGAGACCTTGTACAGGAGGCCCATGGGCCTGCCGGGCTCCGAGTGAGCGTGCAGTTCGAAGGTCGCGTGGCCCACGCCGGCGCTCCGTAGCAGCGCCTGCAAACGCGTCTCCCACGACAAGACGGCCGTCTCCGGCAGCTCGTCCAGACCGATTGGCGTGGGCCACGGGTGGTGAGGTGCCCGCCAGAGCAGCGTGTGCGCCGCCCAGCCCACAAACAGGTTGTGCGGGGCCTTGTCGGAGACGGCGCACTCCGGCGGCGGGAGGCCTGGGACTGCCGCCACCTCCTCCTCGTCTTCCATTGCCTCCTCCTCCCCCCCACCTCCTCCTCCCCACCTCCCACCTCCTCCTCCACCGCCTCCTCCCCCCCTTCCTCGTCGTCTTCCGTTGCCACCGCCGCGGCAGCAGCAGCAGCAGCCGCCGCCCCCGGGTCTCGCTGCGGGATGGCCCAGTCCACGTGGATGTCTCGGCCCCACAGCCGGAAGGAGTACGGCAGCAGCACCCTGCGGGCCATGCAGGCCGCGCGGTGGCTCTCGTATTCGACGAGCGCGAAGCCTCGGCTGTGGCTCCTGTCGTGGCGACAGAAGCGCATCTGGACGTCCACGACGCCCTCCGTGACGTCGCTCATCGCCGCCATCACCTCGGCCCGCGTCTTGACCTTCGGCAGCCCCGCCAAGAAGAGGCGGCGATTGTCGACGCTCACGGAACCGCGATCCGTCGGCCCGGGCGGATCTCCAAGTCGTGGAGTCTCCTGACGGCGTCCGCGGCTTGCGAGCGCGTCGCGAAGGTGGCGAAGGCGTAGCCGCGGTTCTCTCCGTGGTACGTCATCATGAGGCGCAGCTGGTACAGCCGCCCCACCGCCTCCAGCACGGGCACCAGCTCGTCCTCGTAGAGGTCGCACGGGATCCTCGCCAGGAACACCTCGCAGCCGCGGGCGGGAGGGGGCCCTGCCAGTCGGGCGGCGGTCCCAGCTTCCTCTGTCCGTTCTCCTGGACGATGTTGTAGCCCGTGCGCAACACGAGGTCCAGAAGGTCCCTCTCCACGCAGCTCATGATGTCGAGCATCGGCGGCTTTGTCCACGGCGGCGGTGACGACGGGGCAGCGGCTTGGGGCCCGTTGGAGCCCTTGACACTCACCGGCGCAGAAGCCTCGTGCCGACAAAGCCACGGCGGGGGCGGAATCAACTCGTGAAAAGGCGGGAACTCGCTCGGGCCAAGCCTACAGGCCCAGCAGTGGAGAGAGGAAGAGAGAGTGGAGAGACGGATGGAGAGAGAGCTACCTTTGTAAACTCGGAAAATCACAATAAAATAGAAACCCAAGAAACTGTGTCTTGACCTTTGAACCGCCCTGTATAATGACCCCTCACCCCCAGTAGACGACCTGGTACCCCTCCTCACTCATCCACTCACTGACCCATCCACGCACCTCACACACCCAGTCGCTCACACACTCACCTCACACACTCACCCACCCACTCGCTCACACACTCACCCACCCACTCACCCGCACACCCACTCGCTCACACACTCACCCACCCACTCACCCGCACACCCACTCGCTCACACATCACCTCACACACTCACCCACCCACTCACCCGCACACCCACTCGCTCACACACTCACCTACACACTCACCTGCACACTCGCTCACACACTCACCCACACACTCACCTCACCCACTCGCTCACACACTCACCCACCCACTCACCCGCACACCCACTCGCTCACACACTCACCCACCCACTCACCCGCACACCCACTCGCTCACACACTCACCTCACACACTCACCCACCCACTCACCCGCACACCCACTCGCTCACACACCCACCCACTCACCCGCACACCCACTCGCTCACACACTCACCCACCCACCCACTCGCTCACACACCCACCCACTCACCCACCCGCACACCCACTCGCTCACACACTCGCTCACACACTCACCCACCCACTCACCCACCCACTCACCCGCACACCCACTCGCTCACTCACTCACCTCACACACTCACCTCACACACTCACCCGCCACTCACCCGCACACTCACCCGCACACACACCCGCACACTCACCCGCACACTCACCCGCACACTCACCCGCACACTCACACCACTCACCCCCCACTCACCTGCACACACACTCACCTCACACACTCACCCACCCACTCACCCACACACCCACTCGCTCACACACTCTCCCACCCACTCACCTCACCCACTCACCTCACCCACTCACCTCACCCACTCACTGATGATGATGAGAGAGAGAGACACGCAGACTCCAAATATACAACAGTAGGCGTCGCCAGGGCCGGGATCGAACCCACGACCTCCTGCATACCAGGCGAGGTAGTTAACATCTCCTAGCCACCGTGATGATGATGAGAGAGACACACAAACTCCAAATATACAGCAAGGATCTTCAGTATCCGGATCAAACCCACGACCTCCTGCATACCAGGCGAGGTAGTTAACATCTCCTAGCCACCGTGATGATGATGAGAGAGACACACAAACTCCAAATATACAGCAAGAATCTTCAGTTCGGGATCAAACCCACGACCTCCTGCATACCAGGCGAGGGAGTTAACATCTCCTAGCCACCGTGATGATGAGAGAGAGACACAAACTCCAACTCCAAATTAAGTTTGAATGTTTGCGTGTCGTTAAACCGGCCATCAGCCGACAGCCAATTCGCAAGGTTTATCACGTGACATACCGTGCCAATCTGTCACTGGAGCAGCACTAACCGGTTGTGTGTTGGAGTGTCTGTGTGTACACACTGTGTGTGTCTGTGTGTGTGTACACTGTGTGTGTGTGTACAATGTGTGTGTCTGTGTGTGTGTCTGTCTGACACTGTGTATGTGTGTCTGTGTGTGTGTACACTGTGTGTCTGTGTGTACACTGTGTGTGTGTACACACTGTGTGTGTCTGTGTGTTTGTCTGTGTGTGTGTCTGTGTGTGTGTGTACAATGTGTGTGTGCACAGTGTGTGTGTGTATACTGTGTGTGTGTACAGTGTGTGTGTGTACAGTGTGTATGTGTGTCTGGGTGTGCATGTGTGTGTGTGTACACTGTGTGTGTACAGTGTGTGTGTGTGTACACTGTGTGTCTGTGTGTACACTGTGTGTGTGTACACACTGTGTGTGTCTGTGTGTGTGTTGTCTGTCTGTGTGTGTACACTGTGTGTGTGTGTACACTGTGTGTGTGTACACTGTGTGTGTGTACAATGTGTGTGTGTACACTGTGTGTGTATGTGTGTGTGTGTACACTGTGTGTGTATACACTCAGTGTGTGTGTGTGCACTGTGTGTGTATATACACTGTGTGTGAGGTGTGTGTACACTGTGTGTGCACTGTGTGAGTTGCTGTGTGTACACTGTGTGTGAGATGCTGTGTGTACACTGTGTGTGTACAATGTGTGTGTACTTGTGTGTGTGTACACTGTGTGTGTGCACTGTGTGTGTGTACACTGTGTGTGTGTACACTGTGTGTGTACAATGTGTGTGTACACTGTGTGTGTGCACTGTGTGTGTGTGTGTACACTGTGTGTGTGTACACTGTGTGTGTACATTGTGTGTGTGTGCACTGTGTGTGTGTACACTGTGTGTGTACACTGTGTGTGTGTGTACACTGTGTGTGTGTACACTGTGTGTGTGTGTACACTGTGTGTGGTGTACACTGTGTGTGTGTGTACACTGTGTGTTGTTGTACACTGTGTGTGTGTACACTGTGTGTGTTCACCACGCCCGGCGGACCCGTTATTCGATCCCGACTCCTGCCGGGGGAGGCGCTCCGGGCGCGGCGGGTCCGCTAGGAAAACTCGGGATGGCCCGAGGCCGACTAGGCCGCAGTCTTCCCTCCCCTCTGTTCTAGATGGTGACGGTGTTGCTGATGATGATGCTGTTGTTGTTGATGCTGATGATGTTGTTGATGTTGATGTTGTTGATGATGTGTTTTGTTGATGTTGTTGATGTTGTTGTTGATGTTGCTGTTGTTGTTGTTGCTGATGTTGTTGTTGATGCTGATGATGATGTTGATGCTGATGTTGTTTTGTTGATGCTGATGATGATGTTGATGCTGATGTTGTTGTTGATGCTGCTGATGATGTTGTTGATGCTGATGATGTTGTTGTTGATGTTGCTGATGATGTTGTTGATGCTGATGATGTTGTTGATGCTGCTTCTGATGATGTTGATGATATTGCTGCTGATGCTAGGGTGGTGATGATGTTGCTGATGATGGTGTAGATGATGTTATTAATGATGTTGCTGATGCTGATGATGTTGTTGATGCTGATGATGTTGTTGTATATGATGGTGTAAATGATGTTTATTGATAATGTTGATGATCGCATACATCAACATAATTTATTAATTTATTCAGTTAGGGTAGCCTCTCATTGTGGGAGGGAGGGTCTTGTACCCCAGAAGTGACGTCATGTCATCTGCTGCCGCGTGACGTCACGTCATCTGCTGCCGCGTGACGTCATCTGCTGCCGCGTGACGTCACGAGCTAACAGGAAGCTGGAGGTCCGCGTGTGAACTGCAATCCGAGGTGAGAAATTTCATTGCGGTTGTTGTTGTTGTTGTGGTTGTTGTTGTTGTTGTTGTGGTTGTTGTTGTTTACCAAGCTAGAGCCTCGCTCTCTCTCTCGTAGGGATGTCACTAGAGCAGCAGCAGCTTGTGAATCGATGTCCAAGTTGGAACTTTACAACGCGGGGCCTAGACACGCGGGGCCTTGCCTCCTGCCCTCGCCTGGTCGCGTTTGCTTTAATTCCCTCCCTTAAGTTTAATTTGTCTTCACGCGGCTCGCTACTTTGTCACTTTGGTTTATTGTAGATATTAACGCAGTTTTTTTTTCGTTTTTTACCAGCCCAAGCCCGCCTGAGCTGCTGTACCGCTCTTGTTTACAGAAGCTACCTGCCCACAACAACAACAAGGTGGGTGGGTTTTGTCAACGCGTGTGTCATGTTTTGACTTAAAACTTTCGTAACTGCAGCAATTCATATTCTTGGTTCTTTCGGTGAAGTCACGGAGATAGAAAATTTATAAAAATAACAATAATAAAATGAATAAAAGTAAACAAAATTGTAAATAAATAAAAAAAACCCACGACGTTTCGATCGCAACAAGTGGCATTTATTTGATGTTATTATCTGTTGTTATTGTCTATCTACGTGACTTTACCGAAAGAACCAAGAATACGTGTGGAAATGTGTATCGGTCAAAGACGCTAAACGTGCTGATGTTGACTCTAAATGTGGAGGGGAAACCCGGGAGATTCGGAGGAAAATCCACGCGACCACGGAGAGAGAGACACGCAAACTCCAAATATACAGCAGCAGCAGCAGGCGTCAGGGTCGGGATCGAACCCACGACTTCCTGTATACCAGGTGAGGTAGTTAACATCTCACCACGGAGAGAGAGAGAGACACGCAAACTCCAAATATACAGCAGCAGGCGTCAGGGTCGGGATCGAACCCACGACTTCCTGTATACCAGGCGAGGTAGTTAACATCTCACCACGGAGAGAGAGAGAGAGACACGCAAACTCCAAATATACAGCAGCAGGCGTCAGGGTCGGGATCGAACCCACGACTTCCTGTATACCAGGCGAGGTAGTTAACATCTCACCACGGAGAGAGAGAGAGAGACACGCAAACTCCAAATATACAGCAGCAGCAGGCGTCAGGGTCGGGATCGAACCCACGACTTCCTGTATACCAGGCGAGGTAGTTAACATCTCACCACGCAGAGAGAGAGAGAGACACGCAAACTCCAAATATACAGCAGCAGGCGTCAGGGTCGGGATCGAACCCACGACTTCCTGTATACCAGGCGAGGTAGTTAACATCTCACCACGGAGAGAGAGAACACGCAAACTCCAAATATACAGCAGCAGCAGGCGTCAGGGTCGGGATCGAACCCACGACTTCCTGTATACCAGGCGAGGTAGTTAACATCTCACCACGGAGAGAGAAGACACGCAAACTCCAAATATACAGCAGCAGGCGTCAGGGTCGGGATCGAACCCACGACTTCCTGTATACCAGGTGAGGTAGTTAACATCTCACCACGGAGAGAGAGAGAGAGACACGCAAACTCCAAATATACAGCAGCAGGCGTCAGGGTCGGGATCGAACCCACGACTTCCTGTATACCAGGTGAGGTAGTTAGCATCTCACCACGGAGATACGAGGGCTTCCAGGCATATTTATGACCATTTGCCCTCTCATTGTGTGCAATAACAGCTGTGTGATGAATTTGGGAAACTTTTTCACGACATTATGAATATATGAATAAGTATAGACGTGTAAGTCACGTGTGACTGTGTTTTTGCATTCATCTGTGCCTCGATACTGACGTGTAGGTGGTGTGGATATTATTTTTTTCTGTCTACAGCTGTCGCTTGGTCTGATGGAGCAAAGGCAGTCAGCACAGCTCGGTACGGCAAGGCAACAATGCGACCAGCGTGGATACAGCACGGAGCGGACTGTAAATTTGACACACCACCAGAGAGCACACACAGGAGAGAAACCCTTCAAGTGCACTGTGTGTGGGAAGGCATTTGCATGTCCATCTGCTCTTCAGACCCACCAGAGAGCACACACAGGAGAGAAACCCTTCAAGTGCAGTGTGTGTGGGAAGACGTTTGCACATTCATCAAATCTTCATGTACACCAGAGAACACACACGGGAGAGAAACCCTTCAAGTGCAGTGTGTGTGGAAAGGCATTTTCACTGTCATCTTCTCTTATAAAACACCAGAGAACACACACGGGAGAGAAACCCTTCAAGTGCAGTGTGTGTGGGAAGGCATTTTCACGGTCATTTTCTCTTAAAAAACACCAGAGAACACACACAGGAGAGAAACCCTTCAAGTGCACTGTGTGTGGGAAGGCATTTACACAGTCATCAAATCTTAAAAACACCAGAGAACCCACACGGGAGAGAAACCCTTCAAGTGCAGTGTGTGTGGGAAGGCATTTTCACGGTCATCTTCTCTTATAAAACACCAGAGAACACACACGGGAGAGAAACCCTTCAAGTGCAGTGTGTGTGGGAAGGCGTTTGCACAATCACCACATCTTCAAGCACACCAGAGAACCCACACGGGAGAGAAACCCTTCAAGTGTACTGTGTGTGGGAAGGCATTTTCACGGTCATCTTCTCTTATAAAACACCAGAGAACACACACGGGAGAGAAACCCTTCAGGTGCACTCCGTGCGGGAAGGCGTTTACACAGTCAGAACATCTTCATGTACACCAGAGAATGCACAAGCATCAGAATATCCACCAGGAGTGGAGTCTGAAATCAGCTTGTGAAAGTCAAAGTGCTGCAATGAGCCCATCCCTCATCAAACAAGAACCGGAAGAAAATCCCAGCTTGGACACTTTTAAAGGTAACGAGGTGAAATATGAAGAGGTGAAGGTGAAATTTGAAGAGGTGATGGTGAAGAGCGAAGAAGTGAAGATAAAATGTGAAGATGATGATTCAAATCCAGAATGGGACCTTCACATCGATGGAGGCAACGTGAAGCAGGAGGAGAATTCTGACTGTGAGGCAGAGTAAGGCAACTCCAAGCATCTTCTTGGTTCTTTCGGTAAAGTCACGTAGAAGGGAAGTAATACAATAATACAAATAAAACATGATCAAATAATTCTCACGACGTTTCGGCCACAACGCAAGCAGCCGTCCTTAGGTGAAAGAACCAAGAAGATTAATCCCTGCAGTCACGAAAGCTTTAAATCGAAACTCCCAGCAGTTTGTGGAGGTGTGGGTGGACTTCCTAGACAACACAAAGTCAAATGGAGACCCGGTAGATGTGTCAGCCTGAGACGATGTCGCTGCAATAGATGCACCTTTGTCACAGGCCTTTAATGACAATAACGTGAAGTTGAACACTCAGTTCCTAGGTTCAACCTGCAGGGTAAGAGCGAGTGGCCAGTTACTGCAGCTACATACTATTAACACTCCTTCCCTTTGTTAATGCTACCCCTATCCCCTTCCTTTGATGCTGCTAATTCTGCATAATGCACGGGCATAAGTAGTACTAATCACATACCTGCATTTCTCATAAATATGCTAAATGCCTCTTGATTTGCAAATTCCTTTGTCAAGGCACCCAGCTTATATATATGCTCCAAGCTCGTGTGCTGTTTCATTCAGACGCTGTCACCTCGACAGACCTGGTTTTTACCTGAGGACGGCTGCTTGCGTTGTGGCCGAAACGTCGTGAGAATTGTTTCATTTTTATTATTTTATTACTTCCCTTCTACGTGACGACTTTACCGAAAGAAGCAAGACGAGTGGCCAGTCTTAGTGGACCTGTGGGTTGAGTCAATCTCTCACCAGGAGCGAGAGCCAATAAGCCCCCAAGCATTCACGATGTTCTCATCATAATTGCTGTTGCATGGTGCTTGTCTGAAACACTCGAAGAGCATCCCCAAGTAGCAGCTGCCCCTGTGTGGCAGAAGGTGGTTGCCCTGCACCGGCCTGCGTGTTGTCAAGAGCCTGTCAGTAGGGGGCGATGATTGATCTGTTATCTCAGCTGTGTCGTTAGTCGGTAATGTTTAGAATTAGCTACATTTTTGACCCAGACGCCAACTTGCAAAGGCCTACTCGTTTTGAATTGCACAATTGTGTGTTTCACATCCACTGTTCAGTAGAGGGTGCATTCTTTAAATAGCTCCTTGTTAATAAGATGTTATCTAAACTATATTGTTCAATTTTGGAAGAACGTAATCAACCAGGTAGGGTGTTGACTGTTGTGTTGGCTGACTCTTGTGTTGTGTTGCATTATATTTCTAAGTTCACTGTTTTCTAATTCACTTGTTGTACCTGACGATGGTTGCTTGTGTTCCAATCGAAACGTCGTATTCTATTAAATTTCGTTCTACGTGACTTTACTGAAAGAACCAGAGAATAAGATGTTATCTGATGCAGTATATTTCACTGCAGTTATTAAATTTTGTGCATATGCCTGTCAATAATTTAGAATGAATACTTGTCTGATTGTGTGCGTACATGTAACACACACTGTACGTACACAATGTACACACAGAGTACACACAGAGTACACACACAGTGTACACACACACAGTGTACACATACACACATAGTGTACACACACGCACAGTGTACACACACACAGTGTACACACACACACAATGTACACACACGCACTGTGTATACACAGTGTACACACACACAGTGTACACACACACACAGTGTACACACAGACAGTGTATATACACACACACAGTGTACACACACAGTGTACACACACTGTACACACACACTGTGTACACACACACACAGTGTACACACACACAGTGTGCACACACACAGTGTACACACACAGTGTACACACACACAGTGTACACACACACACAGTGTACACACACACTGTGTACACACACACAGTGTACACACACACACAGTGTACACACACACAGTGTGCACACACACAGTGTACACACACACACAGTGTACACACACACAGTGTACACACACCCAAGGGGTCTCTGTTCAAGAGATGGAGCAATGGAAAATGGATCTAAATCAACTTAGACTCCAACCCCGCTCTGTGACGTCACCACTCAGCATTACGTCATCCGCGTGGAACGCCAGGGGAGGTGTACCTCGCTAGTGACGTCATGTCACCAAGGATTTCACCCCCCTCTGCCCAGTCCCCTGCGCTCTTGAACGTGACGTCACCTCCGCCTCGGTCACTGCAGAGATCGTTCCAGTTGCCAATCCTTATTTGGGCAAAGCCACGCCCAGTGACTGGCGGCTCATTAACATAAAGAGTTCGTTAAAGACGTCACCAGTTTATTGCGACGGTCTCATTAACATAATTTATTCATATTCTCATTTAGTTACAGAGCCGCTCGTTGTAGGAGGGGCGTGTCTCGTGCCCAGGAAGTGACGTCATGTCACCTACTACCGCGTGACGTCACGGGGTAACAGGAAGCTGTCGCCCCGCGCGTGCAGTGAAATCCGAGGTGAGAAATTCTCATCGTCGTGGTGGTTGTTGTTGTGGTTGTTGTTGTGGTTGTTGTTGTTGTGGTTGTTGTTTACCAAGGTAGAGCCTCGCTCTCTCTCTCTCTCGTAGGGATGCCACTAGAGCAGCAGCAGCAGCTTGTGAATCGATGTCCAAGTTGGAACTTTACAACGCGGGGCCTAGACACGCGGGGCCTTGCCTCCTGCCCTCGCCTGGTCGCGTTTGCTTTAATTCCCTCCCTTAAGTTTAATTTGTCTTCACGCGGCTCGCTACTTTGTCACTTTGGTTTACTGTAGATATTAACGCAGTTTTTTTTTCGTTTTTTTACCAGCCCAAGCCCGCTTGAGCTGCTGTACCGCTCTTGTTTACAGAAGCTACCTGCCCACGACAACAACAAGGTGGGTGGGGTTTTGTCAACGTGTGTCAATGTTTTGACTTAAAACTTTAGTAACTGCAGCAATTCATATTCTTGGTTCTTTCGGTGAAGTCACGTAGATGGAAAATTTAGTAAAAATAACATAATAAAATGAATAAAAGTAAACAAAATTGTAAATAAATAAATCCACGACGTTTCGATCGCAACACAAGTGTCCTTTATTTGATTTTATTATCTGTTGTTATTGTCTATCTACGTAACTTTACCGAAAGAACCAAGAATACGTGTGGAAATGTGTATCGGTCAAAGACGCTGCACGCGTGCTGATGTTGACTCTAAATGTGGAGGGCAAACCCGGGAGATTCGGAGGAAAATCCACGCGACCACGGAGAGAGAGAGACACGCAAACTCCAAATATACAGCAGCAGCAGCAGGCGTCAGGGTCGGGATCGAACCCACGACTTCCTGTACACCAGGCGAGGTAGTTAACATCTCACCACGGAGAGAGAGAGACACGCAAACTCCAAATATACAGCAGCAGGCGTCAGGGTCGGGATCGAACCCACGACTTCCTGTATACCAGGCGAGGTAGTTAACATCTCACCACAGAGAGAGAGAGACACGCAAACTCCAAATATACAGCAGCAGGCGTCAGGGTCTGGATCGAACCCACGACTTCCTGTATACCAGGTGAGGTAGTTAACATCTCACCACGGAGATACGAGGGCTTCCAGGCATTTTTATGACCATTTGCCCTCTCATTGTGTGCAATAACAGCCTGTGTGATGAATTTGGGAAACTTTTTCACTACATCATGAATATATGAATAAGTATAGACGTGTAAGTCACGTGTGACTGTGTATATGCATTACTCTGTGTCTGACGTGTAGGTGGTGTGGATATAATTTTTTTCTGTCTGCAGCTGTCGCTTGGTCTGATGGAGCAAAGGCGCTCAGCACAGCTCAGTACGGCAAGGCAACAATGCGACCGGCGTGGATACAGCACGGAGCGGACTGGAAATTTGACACAGCACCAGAGAACTCACGCAGGAGAGAAACCCTTCAAGTGCAGTGTGTGTGGGAAGGCATTTTCACGGTCATATTATCTTAAAAGACACCAGAGAGCACACACGGGAGAGAAACCCTTCAAGTGTAGTGTGTGTGGGGTGGCATTTTCACAGTCAAATAATCTTAAAAGATACCAGAGAACACACACAGGAGAGAAACCTTTCAAGTGTACTCTGTGCGGGAAGGCATTTGCACAGTCATCTTCTCTTAAAAAACACCAGAGAATACACACGGGAGAGAAACCCTTCAAGTGCAGTGTGTGTGGGAAGGCACTTTCACGGTCATCTGTTCTTAAAAGACACCAGAGAACACACACAGGAGAGAAACCTTTCAAGTGTACTCTGTGCGGGAAGGCGTTTTCTTTTTTACATCATCTCGTAAGACACCAGAGAACACACACGGGAGAGAAACCCTTCAAGTGCAGTGTGTGTGGGAAGGCATTTGCACATTCATCTACTCTTGTAACACACCAAAGAACACACACGGGAGAGAAACCCTTCAAGTGCACTGTGTGTGGGAAGGCATTTTCACAGTCATCTTCTCTTATAAAACACCAGAGAACACACACGGGAGAGAAACCCTTCAAGTGCACTGTGTGTGGGAAGGCACTTTCACGGTCATCAGATCTTAAAAGACACCAGAGAACACACACGGGAGAGAAACCCTTCAAGTGCATTCTGTGCGGGAAGGCGTTTTCAGATTCTTCCAATCTTCAAGTACACCAGAGAAGACACAAGCATCAGAAGATCCACAAGGACTGGAGTGTGAAATCAGCTTGTGAAAGTCAAAGTGCTGCAATGAGCCCATCCCTCATCAAACAAGAACCGGAAGAAAATCCAAGCTTGGACACTTTTAAAGGTACCAAGGTGAAATATGAAGAGGTGAAGGTGGAATGTGAAGAAGTGATGGTGAAGAGTAAAGAAGTGAAGGTAAAGTGTGAAGATGAAGATTCAAGTCCAGAATGTGACCTTCACATGGATGGAGGCAACGTGAAGCAGGAGGAGAATTCTGACTGAGGCAGAGCGAGGCAACTCCCAGCAGTTTGTGGAAGTGGATGTGTCGGTGGACTTCCTCCGAGACAATACAAAGTGAAATGGAGACCCGGTAAATGTGTAAGCCAGAGACGATGTCGCTCCAATAGATGCACCTTTGTCACAGGCCTTTAATGACAATAACGTGAAGTTGAACACTCAGTTCCTAGGTTCAATCTGCAGGGTAAGGGTGGCCAGTCTTTGTGGACCTGTGTGTTGGGTAGATCTCTGAGAGCCAATAAGCTCCCAAGCATTCACGATGTTATAATTGCTTTTACATGGTGCTAACTTAATCCGCTCAGCAACTCGGAGTTTTGTATCGTACCTCGTCTCAAACATTCTAAGAGCACCCCAAGTAGCAGCTGCCCCTGTGTGGCACAAGGTGGTGGCCCTGCACCGGCCTGCGTGTGGACAAGAGCCTGTTAGTAGGGGGCGATGATTGATCTGTCATCTCAGCTGTGTCGTTAGTAGGTAATGTTTAGAATTTGCTACATTTTTGACCCAGACGCCAACATGCAAAGGCCTACTCGTTTTGAATTGCACAATTGTGTGTTTCACATCCACTGTTCAGTAGAGGGTGCATTCTTTAAATAGCTCCTTGTTAATAAGATGTTATCTAAACTAAATTTTTCAATTTTGGCAGAACGTAATCAACCAGGTAGGGTGTTGACTGTTGTGTTGGCTGACTCTTGTGTTGTGTTGCATTATATTTCTAAGTTCACAATGTTTTCTCATTTACTTGTTGTACCTGACGATGGTTGCTTGTGTTCCAATCGAAACGTCGTATTCTATTAAATTTCGTTCTACGAGACTTTACTGAAAGAACCAGAGAATAAGATGTCATCTGATGCAGTATATTTCACTGCAGTAATTAAATGTGCATATGCCTGTCAATAATTTAGAATGAATACTTGTCTGATTGTGTGCGTACATGTAACGCACACTGTACGTACACAATGCACACACAGTGTACACACAGTGCACCCACAGTGTACACAGTGTGTGTGTGTGTACACACACTGTGTACACACACTATACGCACACATTGTACTCACACACTGTGCACACACTGTGCACACACTGTACACACACAATGTGTACACACAAAGTGTACACACGCACACAGTGTACAGTGTGCGTGTGTACACACGCACAGTGTACACACGCACAGTGTACACACGCACAGTGTACACACGCACAGTACACACACACACACAGTGTACACACACACAGTGTACACACACACGCACAGTGTACACACAGTGTACACACACACTGTGCACACACACACAGTGTACACACACTGTGTACACACACAATAATGTCCACGTTGTAGTTGCTCAGCTCACACACCCAAGGGGTCTCTGTTCAAGAGATGGAGCAATGGAAATTTAATCTAAAAACTTAAACTCCAATCCAGCTCTGTGACGTCACACTCCACCACGCTCTTGTGGTGCGTGACGTCACCTCCGCGATGGTCACTGCTGAATCTGTGGGAGGGGAGTGTCTTGTATCCCGGAAGTGACGTCATGTCACTTTCTGCTGCCGCGTGACGTCACGAGGTAACAGGAAGCTGCCCGCTCCTCGCTTTTTCTGAAATCTGAGATGATAAATTCTCGTGGTGGTTTGTGGTTGTTGTTTACCAAGGTAGAGCCTCTCGTAGGGATGTCAATTGAGTAGCATTGGAATCGATGTCCAGGTTGGAACATCACAAGGCGCGGCCTGGCCACGCGGGGCCTTGCCTCCTGCCCTCGCCTGAGTTAGTTTAAATTAATGTGTCTTCACGCGGCTCGCCACTTTGTAACTCTGTTTTATTGTTACAGTGAGGGGACAAGTATTTGATCTAAATTTAGATTTAAATCTTCTTTCGTGACTGCAGGGATTCAACTTCTTGGTTCTTTCGGTAAAGTCGTCACGTAGAAGGGAAGTAATAATATAATAAAAAATAAAACATAAAAATAATTATATTACTATTATATTATTTAATTGTTTTATTTTTGTTGTTTTATTACTTACCTTCTACGTGACTTTACCGAAAGAACCAAGAAAAAGTATTTGATCCCCTGCTGATTGTGTACGTTTGCCCACTGACAATGAAATGATGAGTCTATAATTTTAATGGTAGGTTTATTTGAACAGTGAGAGACAGAATAACAACAACAAAATCCAGAAAAACGCGTCAAAATGTTAAAAATTGATTTGCATTTTAATGAGGGAAATAAGTATTTGACCCCCTCAGCAAAACATGACTTAGTACTTGGTGGCAAAACCCTTGTTGGCAATCACAGAGGTCAGACGTTTCTTTATGTTGGCCACCAGGTTTGCACACATCTCGGGAGGGATTTTGTTCCACCTGTTGTGTATGTACCCCCTTTTTATTTTTTTAAATATTATTTTTTTTAAGAATTATTCTGCCAACATAGATAATATCGTTTTTTTTTAATAGACGCGGCCACGTGGGAACGAACACGCCCCCACACTTCCACAGAGGCCCCCACACTTCCACAGACGCGCGCATACCTCATTTCAAAGGAGAGAGGACATGAAAGGGGGGGCAATAAGGTAATAAAAAAAAACTCCCCTAAATTCACACAAGAGGAACAAGGGAGGGGGGGAATTGCAGGCGGGGGGTTGCAGAACCAGGAGACACGGAGGAAGAGATAATTATATTCTTAACAAAGAAACAGCATCAACGACAAAAAGCACAGATGGATCTTTGAACCATGTTAAATACACAAGTTACCAACTTAACCATAAAGATTAAGCAAACAGTATCCATCCTCACTCCAATTGAAAACCAGACAAAAATTGCACCAGAATCGCGACCCATCATTGTTAATTAAGTACTGACATTATTTACCTTTAAAGAATATCTACACGACCGGGCCGAAGCATCAAAGAATAATTATGGCATCTATTTCGCTCCAAAACAAATTCCTAGCCGGGATATCAGATCAAATAATCACAAGAAGTCAAATAATAAGTACGGAATTAAAGTAGAAGAGAAATCAAGGGCGGAGAAGGCTCTCAAAATTAACCAAACACAACACCCATGGGAAGCGAGCAACACGGCCGCCTTTGTCTTTCCGAGAGGATCACGACACACAGGCACCAAGCCAGGAAATGACACCCATAAAAGTTGGGGCAAGGGCTCAAAGCTAATAAACACGTCTTCGAATAAATAAGCGCATGCGCCGGGTGCTCCCACCGTGGAAACAACCGCCTTTGTCTCCCCACAACACGGACAAACACGCACGCGAAACACACGGACAAACACGCACGCGAAACACACGGACGGACACACACACGGACGCAGATGGTCCACCCCCACAGGAAGGTTTTATGACACAGCTTTTGAACAACTCGGGAAGCCGAGTGGAAGTTTCCGATATAAACCGAAGGAAAATCCATACATCACAGAGATCGACAGGGGCTCTGGCCTCCCATCACAGTTCGTCAGGGGCTCTGGCCCCCATCACAGAGATATCATCCGGGCTACGAGCCCATCTTCGGCTCCACCACAGATCTTCACGAGCTCCGGCCTACATCTCATCTCGTCTCCGGGCTAAGGCCCCACCAGAGTTCTCCAAGGCGACAACCATCTCTCCTCGTCGCCGCCAACGAAGAAGCTCCTGTCATTCAGAATGACGAGGGTCGCGGAGTAGCGACGCGTAGCTACAAGCCGAGGTCTGCACCACCTGAGAAGAATCGCTACCCTGAGTCGCAGAGCTGCGAGTGAAGCCAACAAAGACGCCAACGTCCACCCTGCCACGAACGAAGCATCGCTCCTCGTCAGAGTGACGACCAGCGAACAACCCGCAGGAAAGGCGGAGATCGCTGAACGAGCGCCAACTTGCGCCACCTTGCGCCACCGTGCGCCACCGTGCACCACTTTGCGCTGAACGTGCGCCACCGTGCGCCACCGTGCGCCACCGTGCGACACCGAGCGACAACGAGCGACACCCAGATCGACCAGCATCAACCCAAACCGACTCGTCATCCCGCCGTGGAGAAAAAGAGTCAAAGTCTTCTGAACGAGCGCCGCCGCTCACCTCACAGCGGAGAAAGTCTCAGCTGCCGCTCGCACAAACAACAGAGGTCGTATCGCTCCCCACATACAGACTCAAGAAAACACAGAGAAAATCTTGTCAAACCAGTTTCCTTTGTCCCAGAATCTCGCCGAAGAATTAATTAAAACAGAGCCAGATTCGCTCTCGCGCCCACACGCCCTCACCCACCATTGTATCAAACATTCCGTTAAAAAGGATTTTAGACTTGCCGATGAATCT